AGAAACAGTGCACCTCTGGAAAGTTTACAGGGTCTCTTTGTGACAGCAGAAGAGGCTGCAGTGGTCCATAATCTCAAAACCTGTAGGTACCAGAGGTTTGGATGAATTCAGTTACAGAAAAATAAGCAGGGCAACATGAGAGAATGTCATCCAAAACAATGCAAGATACAAATTGTGACCCCTTCTAGCTTCCATATGTAGGTAAACAGCCTAGATTCTGCCAGAAACTGTTGGATCTAAAGATAAATGTCAGAAAAATGAAAGAAAAATATTGCCCACTGGAATACCAGAAAACACTGCTATAGATGAAAACTTGCCAAAGAAACACTCGTTCAGACCAGTAAAAGGAACAAATTTTAAAATCTTTAGGTAAATTAATTGTTGCTATAAACTACTGACTTTTTATAGTTGCATATAAAATGACTTCTTCTTTGAAACAAATAAAAGTAGCTTGACTACCTTCAGCAACTTGCTGTTATAATAAAAACAGACTTTATCTGGCAACTCAATTTTAAAAAAGCACAATAAAAGTGCAACGTTTACTGTTGACTCTCATTGTTCCACTGCCTAAAATAAGAAAGCAAAATATAGACTGTATAAAATGCACTGATTTTATGAGCAAGCATCACCCCAAAATCCAACTCCAAAAGGAATTTAAACTTTTGTGATATATTACTAAGTATATGTTCATGACTTAAAATAAAAAGCATAAGCCACTTTTTTTTTTTTTTCCCCCAGCATCCTTTTGTCCTCTTAATTACTTCATGTTCTTGAGCACAAGAAATTGATCCTGGCACTGCCAGGGCCTTTTGGTACTACAAGGACAAAAGGTAAACATGAAAATATAATACTAAACATGAACAGACCTCCAAGTCCCTTCAAACCATTTTGCCAAAAACTTATACAGAAACGTAATCGATGAGTTCAACTATGATGACCATTTTGTGCAGGAGTACCATGACAAGGACAACATAAAATAGTTTTACTTCAATGGTGCCAGACACATTAGTCTCTGGCTCTGTAATTGCACATGTACAGGAAGTGCCATTCCATGTCTCCTCCAGGGAACATTTGTGTGTAGCATCAGAATTCCATTCAAAACCTTGGTTTAGATAGTATTTTCTCAAACTTTGTAAAGATTCTTTACCTTCAGATTCTAGATATCATTTTTATGTTCAGGAAGTCACACTGTCTTTTTCACCAAGTTTTCTTTAAACACAATATCTCAGTTAGTTTGATCCACAGCTAACAAAGATATTTCAAATAACAATTATGTATACATAATAGCTAGATTTTTAATGGCACCAACATAAAGAGGCACTCAGCTGCATTCTAAAAAGTAGTCAAGGACCAGTTTAGAGCTCATTGTACATAAACGTAAAATGCATCCTTTTTCTTTTTCTTAGAAAAATTATGCACATATTTTTTTTTCAAAATGGATCTGTAAATCCTCTGCAGAACATATTCCTCTGCAATCCTTTGCAACAGTCTGCAGTTAAGTAGTTTGCATAGCATCAGGGGAAGAGTAATTAAAAGAGACAAAGATTAAACTGAGCTTTTTCTAATTGATTGATCAAAAAGATTTTTTATCTACACAAGGGTAAGTATAGAGATATTTGGATAAAGATGTCCTTGGCATAAATAATAGTGAGTAGAACATGGCTTGGAGACCTATAGAACTGGATAGTGCTATTTGGGGTTTAGGAGTTTAATATGGCTCATGGGTACAGCAGGCAGCTTGCACCCATGTAGGCTCCTATCAGAGCAGAGAAGAGTGGCCACTTCTGATGTCTTCATTTTCCAAGATCACCTGGAAGTCATTCCACAAGGACTTCATAAAGAAGACACAACTTGACATCAGCTCGGTTGGTTAGAGAATGGTGTTAATAATGCCAAGGTTGTGGATTTGGTCCCTGTAGGGGCCAGTCAGTTCAGAGTCAGACTTGACGATCCTTGTGGGTCCCTTCCAACTCATAATAACCTGTAATATAGACAGACTAATAGAGCTGAGGAAAAAGGAAAGAGATGTTCTCTGTATGGTGCCCTTTGTTACTAGAAGTATCAGGAAGCACACACTGACATTTTAGGCGAACTAGCAAAACAAGACAAAGAAAAAATAGAGAGCTTCCAAGTGCCTTTCTCTGAATCACTGTTTCATTTCCTGATGAAAAGACCCCTTCCCAGACATCCTTGACACTGACATAATCTTGTAAATTAATTTTTCTGCTGTTTCAACTCATCTGCATGACCTACTTTATGGAACTCAAAAAAAATTAGCCAATTTTGTTTTTCTCAAAGGTGAAACTCAAGTAAGCTCCATTATTTTAATGGACAATTTAGCAGTCCCAGAGTCTTTCACGGGCACTCAAGTTCTTTCGCCTTTCGGGCATAAGATACAAAGTTCCTTATTTCTTTTGTAAGTGAGAAAAGTTCTACAATTTACACTCAGATGGGGGAACATAACCCTAAGACACATCTTGCAAAAGCTGCTGTATATCAGGATGATCACAGAACATCACAAGTTTTTAAATTCTTTTTCCTGTCTTTGTCTCTAACCAGTAAATTAGAAAACAGTTACTAACAGTCAGGTAAAAATGATTGTCAAATCAGTTTCCATGTGCAGGTTCAAAGTTATGTCAAATTTAATGAAAAAATTATAGCTCTCTCAAAGTACATTTTTGCATACAAACTTGAAGTTTATTTATACCCGAGTCAAATACTAAACAAATCTATGCATTTTGATGATTAAAACAAACAACAACAACAAAACCCCAGCAAATATACAAGGACTTTAATAACTATTTTTGTTTCAAAATAAGGAACACAAATTGCTCTAGCAATACTCTTTTCTTTTTCCCTCATGCTTTGCATCTGACATGCAGTTTACCATGAAGTATGTTGCCACATCACCCTGAGTGAGCAACTCAGCACTGTTACATTTTACATAGTCCATGAGTCACGGATACTTCTTTAGGACAGTATAATATCAATGACTGACATTCTAAAAAGTATTCCTCCTTGACTTTTGAATATGACACTTTCCTCTTCATAAATCACTGTGCTGGAAGGAAGTTGCTTGAACTTGTCAAGAGAAAATATACCTCAAGGGAATCCATGGGGTAGAAGCAGCTTGATTGGGAGTGGGAGGACGTGAATCAGTCAAGCCCATCAGAGTTATAAACCATGGGAAAAGCTATCAAGAAAGTTTATTCACATGCTTCATCCCTCCAGCACCTTCAGCAAAAACTGTTGTTCAAAGAATCTGAAAGCCTATTACCATTAAAAGGACTACATTTTCTCAAGAGAAGACGTACAGATGATAAAGGCTCACATGCTATTTAAATTAACTAATCACTGTTGACATTACCTATATGCGAATCTATATGACCCAATATGATTGATACACCAATAAGTTCAAAGCCTCTGCGATAAAAAAAAAAAAGTCTGGTTATTGCTTCGACTGCAATAATATTTTTATACAAAGCTTCTTTGCTACTCTGGCATTTTATCCATTCCCTTCAACATAGTGACAAATGAGAAAGAGCTCACTGGCAATGTGGATTTCACCTTCTCTATGCACATGGGATCCCTGAAAGCCTTCTTGTAGTTTACTGTTCACAAAAAAAAGAAAAAAAAGAGAGAGAATAAATATAATCGAATAACAGACTGTAACTATAAAAGTTGTTCCTACCAGAACAGCACATAGTTTAAGAACACACATGACACAAGCACAGTAAACTTTATGACAGAATCATTCTTTAGACAGCATTACCCTGTGTCAGGGCCCTGCCTCCTGTACTCGAATGCCCACTTAAGCTTTGTAACGCTACTCCACCACCTCGCTCTGTGATCAGCCCAGACACAACCCTGTCGTGGTCTTTCCAACACTGGACCGCATCTGAAGAAAAAACTGGAGTCCACGCCTTCAGGCTCTTTTCCAACCCCTTCTTTTGCTCGTTGTCGAGGAACACATCTGGTGCAGGCAGCAGGGTTTGCAGCTGCCGTGCGACACGCAGGTCAAGCTGCGGGTGGGAGCATGAAGCGCACGGAGACCGGCGGTGGCAGCAGGTGGATGGACACTGGGAGACACGTGGGTAGCAGAGGAGAGGATTGTGAGGGGATAAAAGACAGTTCCTTTGCTGAGGGGTCCCTCATCGAAGGCACCAGCTCAGGCTGTTTCCGCGTGACTCAGCCGCGAATGAACGAGATTTTGGAACTCTGTCATGGGATACCCGGCATCGAAGCGGGGAGGAAACTTCGTCCGACCGTGTGGGATTTAGATGGGGACCGATGCCCGCAAACCGGGTACAAAGAAGGACTCTTTAAGAGTCTTTGTTAGTACTAGGGAGTATTCCTTTGTACGCTGGTTTCGGGCATCAGGAGAGAGCCAAGGGGGCTCCAGTCTGATCACTGGAACCGCCCGCCGTCAAGGGGCTTCGGTCCCAGCAGTGACAGCCTCTGGCGCTGGGAATGCTCCTGCCAGACAGCCTCGGGAAGGGTCACACTGGGAAGTTTCCTGCTTTCATTTAACTCAGTTATAAAATTTCCATTCTTTCGCACGTAGACAGAATTAGGCTAAAATAGGGGGACCAGTTAAAAAAAATAAAATCTGCTTTAAATCCGGTTACATTCCAAGTAGCCCCTGAGCGAAATTGGCCGCTCACCGAAAAAAGGTATCCCCAATGAAACCCACGGAATCCCCAACGGGGCGGGTCCCCAGGAAATCCATGGAGTCTCCCGGCGGGGCAGGCAGCCCTGGCCGCTTCCGCTTCCGGCGGCCGGACCGAGGCGGCGGGGCCCGGCCGCGCTGCGGGGCCGCGCCGGGCGGGACGAGCGGGACATGCGGCCGCGGGCGCTGCCCGGCCTCCTGGCGGGGCTGCTGCTGCTCCTGCCGCTGCTGCTGCTGCTCGCCAGCTGCGGGGAGGCTGCGGCGCCGCGGCCCCGGGACGCCTCCACCGCCTCCCCGAGCCCCACGGAGGCGGCCGGCGGGGCCGCCACGCGGAGCAGCAGCAGCAGCAGCCGCCTGGCCGAGGTGTCGGCGCCGCCCGAGCAGGGCCAGCCCATGACCCAGCGCGCCCTGTCCGTTCTGGTGCTGGCGAGCGCCACTCTCATCGTCTACTTCGTGATCCGGACCGTGCGGTGAGGGCGGGAGCGGGCGGGCGACTGGGGGGAACTCGGGCAGGAGCGCTGGGGAGCTCCCGGTGGCGCCTCCCCCGTGTAGGCGGGAAGGAGGTCGGTGGGGCTTGGGTAGCAGCGCATTAGTGCCGGGCCTTTCCTGACCCCCTCCTGTGCTCCCCAAGTGGCCTTCGTCCATCAGCCCACCTGAATTTAATTTTGTACTTTCTCCAGCAGGTTGTGACCTGTTTGCAAATTTCTGACCCGCTAAGCTGCCGAATTTGTGCCTCTCCCCGTCTTTCTCAGTAAACATCTTTCTTTTATGGTTTCTTGCACAGTAAACTTATCTATTTTGTACTTTTTTATGGAAAGGGCCCTTAAAAAGCTTGCACTACCAGCCAACTGCCTTTATGTTTCTCATACAGTTAAGTACACCATTTGTGACTGTATTTTTTTTGTCTTTGTAGTTTTGCTTGTATCTGTCGTGCTTTAACTTGGAACTCTTCTGGGGAAGGCCCAAATGTGTGGTTATGCATAAAGCACATTAATTATGCAGCAAGTTCTCTGTGTACTTTTCATTGTAGTTAGTTATGCTGGTGATGATTGTGCCTAGTATTTGCATCCCTTATTCCAGAAAGGCAGTTGAAAGGTGGTGTGTGGCATGTACAAGCATATACAGTAAATTAGGATATTGTGATTGCTCCATAGCTCTTACAGGTCATTCTTGAGAAGCCTTCAGTCTTATTTTTGTGTAGGATGCATATCTTGTTATCGTATCTTAAAAGGAAATGTCATAATCTTTTATAAGGGAGTAAGAGTAGACAAGAGCACTTCTCAGTGTTAGTGTTTCTCCTAACAGGAGCCCATTGGATTTGGAGGTATGAGTAAATAAAAGCCTGTCATTGCAGGAGCTGAAGAGGAAAACTCTCATCTACTGCCATTATTTTCTGGATGAGTGGTAATTCCTTGACATTCTGGTTTTGGCAGTAGGAAGTTGGCAGTTCTGCATTTGAAACTGTAGTACTGTCTTCTAGGTGCCACCATAAACAGGAAGGTTAAGGCTCATGTTATTCTGTAATTCTGCTGCATCTTGCTTTTGAAATTTGGAATAGATGAAGTGCGTGTTTTTGAATTTGAACTTGTAGCTGAAAAATTTTTGCAACGGTCATATAAGAAATACAAGGTCTAAGTACAAACATCTCTGTTTTTTGAAAGGTTTTCTTGGGATGAATACATATGTCTTGCTATCAGACATAAAAACTTCAGGGCTCTTTCGCAACCTTTCAACCATGTGACCTACTCAGTGGATGAAGGGAAGACAGTGGATGTAGTTTTTGTGGATTTTAATAAGGGTTTAGATACTGTCCTTCACGGTACCCTCCTGGACAAGTTGTCAAGCTGTGGAGTGAGCAGGTTCACGGTGCATTGGGTCAAGAGCCGGTGGAATGACAGGGCTCAAAGGGTTGTAGTGAAGAACTCCAGCCAGTCACCAGTGGTGCTCCTCAGAGCTCAGTTCTAGGACTGGTTCCGGTCAAGATTTTTATCTGAAGGCTGGAGTTTAATGTGCCATTAGCAAGTTTGCTGATGATACCAAACTGGGAGGTGCAGTTGGCTTTCTCAAGGGACAAGAGGCCTTGCAGAGGGATCTGGGTGGATTGGAACATTGGGCAATCACCTGTGGCATGATATTTAATGAGAACAAATGCTAGACTCTGCAGCTGAAACAGAATAACACTGGACACAAGTATTAATTGGGAGAGGAGTAGCTGGAGAGCAGCCCCGCAGAAGGATCTGGTAGTGCTGGTTGATGTTCAGCTCAGTATCAGTCAACATGGGAAAATTACATCCCAGGGGCATCACACATAGCACAACAAGCCAGTCAAGAGAGAGGATTGTCCCCCTGTGTTCAATATTGGGGTGGCCTTCCACTGACTATTGTGTGCAGTGATGACCCCTTGATTTAAGAAGAATAGTAAAACACTTCAGTGTGACCAGAGCAGGGCAACCAAGCTGGCAGATGGGCTGGAAGGCATGTCTTGTGAGGAGCAGCTGAGGACTTTGGACCTGTCTAGTTTGGAGAAAAGGAGGCCTGAGGGTTGACCTTATGGGTCACCAGGGGAGGTATAAATGGGACATCAGGAAGCATTTCTTTACCAATAGGGTGGTCAAAGAGCTTCCTAGAGAGGAGGTCATTTGGACAATACCATAGTATCATCCTTTAGGTCAGCCCTGAATTGATCAGTTGACTAGATGGTCATTGTAGGTCCTTTCCAACTGAACAATTGTATTCTAAAACAGTCACAGGGTAAAGGATTTTAAGTTAGATTTTGTTAAAAGTCAGGACACTGCTTTAGAGTCATAGCTATGACTGTACATGAATCTTGCATAAGCATCTCCAGTATTCTTTTAGCTGTAGTCTTTTGACTAATTGGTATATAAAGTTTTGTGTCACAAGGGATTAATTTATCCTTTTTTCAAAAGAATTTGTTTGAATCTAGAAATCTGTGCCAGCTTTGTGATGAGGGTTTTTTTGCATTATCTGCAATCTGAACATTTACTATGGCTGTCTTAGGTTATTTTTGACTCACAGTACCAACTCACGTTCCATATTAACCCATTAAGGAAAAATGGTAAAATGTGACCATCAGCATTCTGTAAACAGTTGGCTCTGCACCGTGTTTGCTGATCTGAATTTTGGATCTTAGGCAAGGCTTGTTCCATATGTGTGGGAGTAGTTCTGAAAAGCCAAATGGAAGAGTTCATTGTGTGGGGGCTCACATGTGATCTGGGCCTGTGCAGCAAAGCCCCAGAAAGTGAGAAAAGCAGACATAAACAGTCGTGTGTCTGTGATAAGCACTGTGCCTTAATCTGAAATGTGAGTCACCGCCTCTTCCTTCCGCTTTTTGTGAAGCATACAAGGCATTGACTCTATGAGTTCTCTCTTATTCTGAAGTGTAGTTATAAACAATGTTTTAACTTGATATTCATAAAAGACTGCACAAATGATAATAAAAATTTTCAGTGTCACCCATGGCTTGTGTTACACCTTTGCTATAGCTTTGTTTCTTTTCTCTCTGATTTGATCAGCTGTTCTTTACAGATGTATAAAACGCATAGAGAATATGTAACAAGGCAATTTTTTCTCACTGCTAGACCTGCTAGAAGTATACATTTGCATGTATTTTTACTTGGCTCTTACATTTAGCTGCCAAGTGCCTGTGTAGGCTTTTTGTATTCATTGCAGTAATTCTGTACAAAACTACAGATGACATTCTTATTAGCCTTAATCATTTCATGTAAACTCTTGACTCTTAAAATTGTCTGCCCTCTGAATTTCATAAAGCAGAGTGTTTACATGTCACTTATAAATTTAAAGAAACTTATACTAAGTATCAATATAGAGGTATTTTAAGGAATAATTTTCTTAAATTATTGAAGTAGAAAGTAGAGAAATATTCATGTAACTTAAATGTTTTAAAATACCTTTCAGGCTCAGAAGGCGAAACAGAAAAACCCGAAGATATGGAGTTTTGGACACAAACATAGAAAACATGGAGCTGACCCCATTAGAGCAAGATGATGATGATGATGATACAACACTATTTGATGCCAATCATCCTCGAAGGTTAGTATTTAGAACCCAAATGTACTTCTAGCAATAGAAGTGAAGGAGTGTGGGTGATAAGCAGTTTCTTTGAGAAAGCTCACTACTGTGTTTCATATGCATAGTTGGAGAAGGGATGTCAAGATCACTTGAATTTTAAATGGGCAAGAATTTAGTGGGCAAGAAGATAAACACCATTTGTCTTCAGCATGTGAATTCCAGAGAAATGGAGAGGAAGGTAGGATATTTTTGTTAAAAATACAGTGACATTATTGAAGCGTACGTTAAAGTCAACAACTAGCTTTTAGCTTTCTCTTTCCTATTTTTATAATTTTTTTTCTATTTTTGAAGCTCCTCAGGTTTTTCTGTGTGTTCTCACCTGTGAGTTCTGCTTCAAGCAACTTTGCTTCATTCTGCATTCTCATTGCTAAAGTAGTCAGCAGTTGATGATCTTAAACGTAGTCAGCAGTTGATGATCTTAAACGAAGTTTTACATTTGGTATTGCTGCACTTAAAGGCTCATATTCTTTGGTCCCTCTTTGCAACTACATAGATAGAGGAAAATTTTGTTATATTTCCTTATTGTCTTGAAATTTGGTTTTATTTCCTTATTGTCCTTTTACTTAAAGATTATGATCAATTCAAACTTAAATTTACACAATTCAGACTTAAAAGTTTTCCTTTTTGAGTAATGCCACCACACTGCACATATGAAGATAGAGTAAAAAAAATTGATAGTATTTTCACAGTGAGGACTACTGTCAAGTACCAGAAGATATAAATGATGAATTCTGCCAGTCACAGCAAATAGTTGAATCACGCTGTTTAATGTTGAACTGAATAAGTCTCAAGCAGAACAATTCAACAAATGCAATACATGGTGTCTCAAATGAATTAGAAGTATTGGTATAGTAAGGTGTTCTGCTGTTTGTCAGGAAATAACATTGGGTGCAGTTCTGGAAATTGAAGTGAAAGGTTCAGTCTCTTTTAACTTTGTCTCCTTAGGGGGAATCTTTCTGATTAATTTTTTTTCATAACTCAAAGTCTGTCTTTCCACCACACACTAGAATAAACCTGTTGGAATATCTACATTTAGCGTTCCTCTGTATTACAGAATCATGTGACTCTTACAGTTACCCCATGTTACTAGTCTTGTTCCAGTATAATTGTCACACTGTATCCAGGAATTCCCTCAATGTCTTCCTTAAATCTCTTAACTTCTGTTGTAATTCAGCATACTGATTAGACTTTGAGGTATTTGATGGCCAGTTAACATGATATTCTTTATAAATGTTAATTTGCAGGAGTATCAAGTATATTGTTTAGTAGGAAGTACCATCATAATAATAGCGTCATCATTAACAAATAGTGTTATACAATTACAATTTTCAGAGAGCAGATTTCTGATTTTTCTTTTTTTCCCTTGTACTTTTCTAAACACTTCAGTCTGAGGGAGGAAAAAAATTCATTTGAGTATTTCATTGTAGAAGTATCTAAACTTGTTTCAATATCGCTGAGAAAGTATGTGCTTAAATTATCAAAGTCCTTATTTTGATACTGGGAACTTGAGGAAAAATGGGCTTCAGTTATGTTTAGTCAAGACTGTGAATATACTCTGTTTCTATATATTGAGATCTTGTGATGTTCTCCTTTATGGGGAGAAGCTCTTAAAATCTTAAGTTACTTTTTATTTTGAAACTGTTCATGTGCAGCAGGAAAGAATGCTGAACAGTGTGAATTTACTCCACAAATCTCTGTAGAACAGCTTGATAAAGAGCTGTCCAAATTTTGCAAGGCAAGGACATTGCTGCGAGGAAAGTTTAAAAGAGAAAGTACTTGAATTTTTTTCTTTAACCTTAATTGAAGGTACTTTTTAAAGTTAATTTATTTCCCCTTGTTTCAACTAAGTCTTTTGCATCTGCATTGAAGCTTAGTAATCAGTCTTTGTGTCACTGCTTAAATAAGAATTACCAAAGGCAGTACAAAATACGTAAATAATCAAAGAGTTGCTGAGGACAACTTGATGAAAATGATACTCAGATATTCTCAGGAGATGTCATTACACTTTGTCCTGACATTTGCAGTAATTCAGAGAAGGGGTTGGTTGGGGTTTTTCAAGATAGCATAAATATATAGTCAGGCTTGGAGCAACTGATTAGAGAACAACAAAGAGAGGCCCTTAGTGGTTTTTGAGTTTAGTGCTTTGTTGAGTAAAGAACAGTTGCAGTTTTGCTTAACTTATTGTCAACAATTTGCTTATTCAGTGCATAAGTTTCTTTTCTTCATAACTCTGAATGGAAGGCACTAAAAAACTGAACATAGTTCAGTTCTATCTAATTCTAATTAGATAGATTAGATTAGGAAATTCTAATCTACATGTTCATGTAAATTTGTTATTGACATCAAATTATGGATGTCTTTTTTCTTTATTTCTTTATGACCTGTTTGTGGTATCCACTCTCTTTTCATTTTTCTTGATTAAAACAATCAAGCTTTTTTTTGAGGTGATGGTCTACAGCACAGTATACCTATGTTAGAAATTCCTATAGGCTAGTTCTGGGCTAGCTGATAAGTTTGTATGACCTTTCCAAGACTAGGCAGAGAAACTGACTTCTGTCCTAAAATCACCGTAGTAGTGTTCTGGTGTCCAGATACAGTTTTCTCCAGTGTTGCTGTTTTCTTTCAGAGATGTAGGAAAAAAAGTCCCCAGTGCCTCCTGTTGCTGCAGTTTAAGGGCACTCCCACTGTTACCGTCACCATGCCCCTAATCTCTCTGCTGCTGCAGTTTGGGGCAGTTTACCTGAGCAGGATGTTTTAGTCATTTTGTTCAATAGCATACTATTAAATGTCCAAGTTGGAAATTCTAAATCTTGGTTTCTCACAATACAGCTTTACATACATGTTAACTGAGGTATGGGATACTCATATCACGTCTTTGTTTTTCAAAGTTATATCACACTAGTTGTTTACAATCCTCATGAAATGACTTCACACAGAAACTACTTGCTTCACGCTGTAAGGCGCAAGGAAAAGCACTTAATCTGTTTTTGTTAGACTTACCAAAGTTTCAATAGGAACTCGGGAGCCTTGGCAGTTCAAAAATACATTCACCGTGGTAAATCCCTTTTTATTTTCATCAGTGAGCTGTCTCTCTATTTGGAAGGTTTAAATGAATGCAGTTTTTTGGCACTTTGCTTCACAGTCCTATGGTAACTAAGAGCTTTTTTCAGGCAAATTTTATAATAAAATGTCTCTGTTGGCTCTTTCATAATGTTTAGTCTTCAAAAACATAGGCTAAATTTCCCCTTGAAACAGGGCATTTCAGATTAATGCATCTGTTTCTTCTGTTGTAGAGAAGTACGTGCCTTTCAGTGAAAGAACTTAATCTTAGAACCAGAGAAGGAGACTGCTTCATGAGAGAAATAAGCAGCAAGAGGGTATGCAAGTGTGGGGGGGCTAATTTAATTTGTGTATATTATGGCATCCTTAATTTCTTGCAATAAGTAATGTACCAATTTGTTGTACCTTTTTGTATATAGAGGATTCTAAATGTATAGCCTATGGGGAGAGAGTGCTAACTGCACTAAAATAAAAACCTATTTGGAAGGGAGATTACTTGTAAAACAGGAGTTTTTTTGCTTGTTACAAATCTTGTATGCCATTAAGTGTGGTATACACTTTTTTCCTACAGTAATCTGGAATGTTAATTTTATTTTTTTTCTGATATTAAATTGTAAGTAAATATAGCCACTGTGGACTCCTCAGAATTGTTAGAACTTAGTTTTAATTGGGGAGATGCTTTATTGTTTATAAATAAAAAAACAAACTACTGCCTTCTGTGTTGAGACTTTTTTTAAACTGAATTAATATGTTTTGTGTAAACTTCAGTGAATAAATAAAAAAAGTTTACAGTGTTCCTAGCATTTAGTGTGATACTTCAACACTATATATTTTAAAGGATGTTAATATAATAATGTAAAACATAGTATTGCAACATCTTGCTGTTAAGGCTGCTGATCACAACTGTTGAGTCAGGGTTTTTTTTGTGAGATCACCTGTGGTGAAGCAGAGATAAGCCTTTGGTAAAATATTATGTAACTCTAAACTGAACTCTTAATATATAAGCCATTTGAAAGACTTGGGTCTCAAAAGACCCAGTGTGACCGCACTGCTTCATAGTTTTAGAAAAGACTGCTGTTTAGTATAGATGTTTTGTTTCATGGTACTATTGCTGATGTTGTTCCAAATTTTAAACTGTTAAACCACTGCAAAATTGACCTGGTTCTGTGGTAAGATTTTTGCGAGATTTTTTTATGTGGTTTTTCTCTGCGCACAGTTGCTCATCACTCAGTGGCTTGCACTCTGTTTAGCTTACATCTTGAAACATTCTTATTGTAAGACATGATAAAACAAGAAGATTTCTTAAAGATTCCCTAAAGATATTATTAGGGTAAATGAATAAGTTCAAGATTTTATTAAGAGATACAGAGGAGGTTCTTTAATCCTGAAATCTTTTGAAAGTGATTTCCTGCTTTCCTCAATTGGAAGAATATAAACCAAAAGGTTTATGTTTTTGGCATAAGCCCTTTGGATGCTTATGACAGTATACTTTGCATAAAATGCAATATGTGTAATGTTTTGTGAATGATCTGGACACAGGAATCAGGTGTACATTAAGTAAATTCACTGGCAATACTAAACTGGTAGGAGCTGTGGACTCCCTTAAGGGCAGAGAGATCTTGCAGAGAGATCTGAAAAGACTACGGGGCAGGATGATCACCAGACACATGTAGTTTTACAAAGATCAAGTGTTGCATTCTCCACCTGGGATGCAGTAATAATAGGTACAAACTGGGGGACAAGAGGCTGGAGAGCAGCC